CGACATCAACGAGGTCACTCGCGACGTCGCACAAATCGAATTTGACAGACAAGAAGATCTCGATTACATTCGCCAAATATCGGAGTACAGAACAAATTATTCTGCGTGCACGACAGCTTCGCAATAGCAAAGTCCGACAATCGAGCACGAATAATAATCAAGCCTCAAAGTTCAATTGGAGGGGTCGGATCCCTTTGTAACTACGGCACGAGTCTCAGATCACATGATGACAGCGGAATTCCGGGACGGATTATTTGCTCTCCAAGTGAGAGCTCCAAAGTGGTGGCAAATTCGGGGTCCAAACGGACAGCTGTACGAGTACCTACCGCTCCGCTGGACGAGTACCTACCGCTCCCAATGAGAGAGACATTCAGTCTGTACTGCTTCTCCAAGATCATGGATGTTGTTCGAAAGTTGATCAGGCAGGAGGGCATACACATTCTATTATATGCGGACGATCTCCTACTGTAGGGCCACATATCTGTGATACAAGTACATCCCAACCGTCACCGATTTTATCAAGGAACTTGTCGCCTCTCAAAAGCATTTAGTCGTAAATCAACCCTCGAATCGAACAAGATTTAATACCGCCTCCTGGGCAAACAACGATGAATTGGACTCAAACAATGGCAACGATATCTGGGATTAGTTGTTCAGTGGGCGACTTTTGTCGTACCGACGGCTCAGCCATACTTAGTGAACTTACGGCTGCAAGGCAGAGCACCAGCACAAGAATCGTACAAGCAAACAGCACGAGCTTCCAAAGTATGACTCTCGGGAGCAGCATTTAAAAAATTGGAGAAGCTCTGGTATACTCTAGAGCACCACACGACACGAGATATATTCCTCATTCTGCCGAAGGATCAGATAATCACGACCGACGCATCCAAAATAAGGGGTGGCGGCACCCTCACTTTGGGGAATCGAACTTGGACAGCAGCATGCCGATGGTCATCGATAGAGTACAAGCACATGGCCGAAACCGTTATTGGAACGCAGGACGATTGTTCTGACATCAGAAACGATTATTAAGTATCCGTGCTCATTATGACCGACAAACCCTAAAACAGCACGACAGATCTACGAAGAGTGGTCACTGAAATTAAAGACTGTAGAAATACGGCCTGCGGTCAATCTAAAATATCAAGATCAAATACGATAACACATAGATTATTATTTGTATTTAAAAAAAAAATCATATAAGTTATTTTTCCAATATTTCCAAAGTGTTCTAAATTCACTTTGATGGCTCCAATAGCCTGAGTATTTGGTATGACTCATTTACTTGGACCTACGACCTATTTGAGAGGATAGTAGATGTAAGACATTATTAACTAAATTTTATAATCTCTGAACTACTACTTACAGATTTTGATCTTCCCGCCAATCTCCAAAATCCAATAAGTCTTCTTCTTTTTATAACTTTTCTTCAGATGGAACTTTATTTATATTAGCTACTGTATTAACTCGACTTACGTTCTTATGTCTATCTACAAATTAGGCATGTGCTCATGAACACTTAGTTCTACTAGTGAAAATTGGTCAATAATGAACAGCTAGAGGTACGTCCTGTGTGATCGAGGATATTAAAGCTCTTACCAAAAGGCAGTCTCGATTATTCTTACACAAGCTACCACTGTTAAATCCTAATTGACTTAAATCGTATCTTAGTTTATATAACATGATTTAAATCATATAAATATGCATCGAAGTTTACAAGCCTCAACCAACAGATATGTTTCCACAAACATATTACACGAACCTAGCACATCACGCCGGAATAGCGCAAATACACGCATATCGTCGCCGTTGAGACAATGAAGTTTGCTTACTCATGCCGCCGAAACCTATGGTACCGGAGGTTTTAGTGCAACTGGAGGCACACACACTCAACTTTATCGCACCCCTGTGGGTGAAGGCTCCTTGGTGGCTTCATTTAGCCAATATGGCACAACAAATTTGTGTGCTAAACGCTGGCGAGATTTATTATCCCGAAGAAACCGCCGTATTACTAGGTCGCACAATACCTTCTTCCTACTCGACCCACACACATAAGTGATATGCATATAGGCTCCTATGCTAATTGGTTCAATGCCAGTAGAAAAATAGAAGGCACAGTTCAACAATACGATGTAGAAATCACATCAACATATTCAAACGTATTGCGTCCCTCATCGGTCTACCGGTCACAGGGCCAGCAACCACCCGCGAAGCCGCTATTCAATACCTCATATACTTAATGTGTGAAGAGCACATGAAACCACCGCAAACTAACACAGTCAGTGCAGTAGCGTTGAAAAGCCCATCCTCTACCCAATCGACTGCATATAAAATAATATACATCCTTGAAGGGCGTGCACAGCCTTCCAAAGAAGCCGCTTTGTCTACGCAGGATGGGTTTATGCTGTCTTCAGATGTGCTTGGGTAACAGAAATTTATTCCTAATCGGGCCGCAAATCTCCTGAATTCAGTGCACTACACGTCGTCTTTAGTACATAGAATCGTATGATACATACAACGTTGATTGGACACAAACGTCGTTACATAACCGTTCCACTGAAGCGTTCTCAATTCACGTGTGCACGCCCAGTCAATGTGAGTGTCTTTCAATTCCTCGAAGTAGATTTGGCCACTGCCTTGAATCATGTTGGTCAAAACTACTTCGACAGGAATATATGCGCACCAGTACCATTAGACGACATCCAAAAAATGGCTACCTCACAGCACCAATGCAACCAATTTGGGGACGACTTAAAGAGGATTTCCGCGTCGCAGGCATCCCTAAGGCTCTCATCGATCCGCTCATGACCCATTCTTTCCACCGGGGGTTTGTGGCCAGTGCATTATCTATGAATGCACCTCATAGTGTGATATGCATTATCATGGGTATTGCAGAGGGATCCGTAAAGTCGTATGTTAGAACAATCATTCCAGTATACCACGACAGCTTCTTCAATGAGGACCCTACATCAAGACGTGCTGCGGTGTCTGAAACACAAACAACATAAAAGGACGCAGTTTTACAATTTCTATTTATGTTACTCATCTTGTAAAGAAATTAACGTCAAGAATTTTACAGGAGTATATTTACTCCCTGTATATAAAATCGATGACTACAGTTATTCCGTCCACAAAATTCTCTATTGCCTTCTATACCCCGGTATAAAAGCGATGGAACAGAGTGTCCTTCATACCGTCTGTTCTCCTCATGCCCGTCCCACAACTCCCATTTTTCATCTGTTCACCTCACAGATCAGTGAATTAGCTGCCGTGACGTTTTACACTTGAGGGAGACAGCCGTATTAAAGGTACAATAAGTTTAATTGTACATAACTAATCCAAGCGTGGAACTAAATCAGAAGTCTATATGTAGTAGCCGGGCTTCCACATTAGACTCTATGTTATAAACGTACCCTTAAGCAGTACGTAAACTATAAACGTACTCTTAATAGTACGAGGAACTTAAGTCTCGTAAAAATGGTTTTTATCGGTTTTTATTTTTTAAATACCTTTTCCATATTACATATCAGATTTTTGGATAAGGCCATTAAAAGGCCAGATTAAAATGCCAAAAATATGATTTGGTCTAGTTCTATTAATAGAACTATGTTAACTTCCAAATCTATTTATATCTGAATACTTCGGTAGCGAGATGGCTCAACCGAATATAGGTTTCTAGGGATTATTAGCGTTACCTAGTTTGATTTCCGTTCAGTCAACCAGATGTGCCAGTCTGATGAGGACTAAGTAGGTAATTCTTGATAAGTGGCAAGTTATTGGTTAATGCAATAACTATGGACATCAAAAGTATTTTTCTTTTTCTATTCTTTTTTTCTTCTAAAGATAGGATATTATGAGTCTCTCGGATTCGCCCCAACGAAACATACCATAGTTTCTATTAGAGCGACAACGAAACACTAAATAAAATCCCTTCAGCGGAAACAGTACTGAGAGGATTATGTATAGGCAATGTCTCAGCCTCACAATCCCTCAGAGTATTGCTGTTTTCACGAAGCATACCTAACTTTACTAAAAGACTCATTTCGTTTATTTATTTTAAATTTAACTATACTTAGACTTAACCTAAGCGTTTAATTACTCTAAGGCGTTAATATCGCCTTGATTGACCGAAATTTACATATATGTAAATACAAAGGAAGTAGAACATATACACACCACAAGATAGACTCAAATAGAGATAAAGGATGAATATTACATCGAGATAAATCCAATACTTAGATGGTGGTAAGCCGAAAAAAAACATAAAAACCAACATAAATACAAACTGTAAACAATTCATATATAATAAAGAGGTCCTTAGATTCGAGTAATAGAGCTTACTCCAAAGTTTTCCTTAATCTCGTAACAAGAGCGTATGTATGGAATGGTGAGGTGCATCACCGTGCATGCCAAATTGAAATTGCCAATGCACTCTCAGGCCTCAGCCGATTCCTATTTCCTGAGCACAGAACTGAGAACACAGGACATTAGGTTTTTGATAAAGTAGGCTACGATACAGCCACGAGCAGACCTGCCGACACCATGTCGCGACCGACATGTCCTGCAAAATGTAAGCGCGACATGTATGACATGTCGTTTGCCCAAATGTCGGCGTCGTTTATTTACCAACTTATAGACTTTTGTCTTTTATGCATGTCACTCTCTTGAATACAGTCGTTTTAGGGATTTAAAAAATATTAAACAACATTTTTTTAGGGTTTAGGGTTTGAAAAACCTACTTGTTGTTGTTTAATTTTTTATTCTGTTGTTGTTGTTGTTACCTGCTCTCTGGGGATAAATAATGGGATTGATTGAAGAGTCTCAGACTCTCAGGGGAAAAAAATTTAAAAATTGCCACGGTCTCTCGGGGAGAAAGTCATTTTTCGAGCAGAGACCAGACTCTCACCAGAGGCCGAGGGCCAAGGTTGTTTTAAAATTTGCGGACACGATAGATATATTACCTTTAAGTAAATCCCTCAAAGCCTCAGACTCGAGCTAATTCACAGATGACACAATGACACAACATCAATACACTTTAATTGTCCCGTTGTTGGTGTTGGTGTGGTTCTCGCTGACTGCATTGAACAACATCTTTATGAAAAATGTGATGTCGCAGACAGTAGGGGGATTTTGCAGCTGTAGTATCGCTGCTTCCAGCAGTTTTATAGCTTTACTGTGCCTGGGCGTTGTACACATAGTATCTCCACAGACGTTGATATCTACGCCTTCGTTTAAACGCTTAATACCCGCGGCAGCATGCTATTCAATTGCCATTTACTTGTATGCATTCGGTTTACAAGGCTTGCCTGTCGTTTTAACTCAAGTACTGAAATCCCTTGAACCGTTTATGGCGGTGTGCTTGTCTTTCTTAATCCAGGGCTATACCATCTCTATTATGTCGGTTTTGAGTATACTCGTTATAATACTGGGGGTCTTTGTGACATTCACAAACATCGATATTGTTAGTGACAATATTGATATCAGTCTATTTTACGTGTGCCTTATATTGGGCTCGAGTTTCTTGATACAACTACGCAATGTTCTGTGCAAAATCATGTTCGTCAGATCTGGCAATGATTCAGTTCTACTGTCCATGGCCACGTTTGTCAAACTTTCTGCTATGGGATCGATATTATCGATACCTATCGCACTACTGGAGCAAATGTCAGATTATAGTTCAGTATTCGGAGAGGGATCGTGCAGTACCTTTAATGTGGCAGCAGCTGGTTTATCGCAGATCGGTTACAGCATTGCCTCATTCGGTGTACTGGCCCTCGTTACGCCCGCAACGCACAGTGTTCTGAACACTCTGAAACGATTTGTGACCATATTTGCTGCCGTCATCATTCTATCCGAAAGGCTCCGCTTGTCACAGACTATAGGTATGTGCAACCTTTTCTTTGAAATTTAGAAAAACCTTCGCAGGAATCGATACATGTAGTACTGTATCTAATTTATGACCTTGTACCTGGTTATTTAGTGTAATCTTCGCAGGAATCGATGCATGTAGCACTGTATCTAATTTATAACGC